CTTTGTGTTTTCCATTGACCTTGTATCAAATCTTGCTAAGATGACATATATATGAGGCCTCTCAGTGGAGTGGACAGTGTTCAACAGTAGTGAGTTGTGTGGAGAGACAGTGACAGAGAGAGGCAGAGGCACAGAGACAGGCCAGGTTCTCTGTGTTCCTGTTGTTTCAATAAAACTCAGCTGATCATCTCACGGAGTACCTTCATTCTTGGACCACGTATTTCTGTCTTTGTTAAATAAATATTGCCATAACYCACCCTTTGCACAAAATGTTCTCACCAGTCATCATGATTCCCAGCATAAATTGATCACTGAACAACACAACGTCTGCTCTTTGCATGTTGCTGCCTCCACCTCCACCCTCTCCTACCTTTTGTGGCACGCATGTCAAAAAATCTTGGAAAACGAACAACTTTGAATCAAAGCTCTCACATGTAAAAATAATGACAATTTGAAACTGATGACAGATAAGAATAAAACAGTCATAAATTAAAAAAATTATGTTTTAAAGTTTTTATCCAGTTATTAACTTTTACACAAAGCCTTGTTTGTTATTGCGCAAAACTGACAGGTGAAAGTCGTGCCACAGTGTTCTTTTATCATGTCTGTTAATAAAATATCTCATTAACTGAAAGTCATTTTTTAATTAAACTTTCAGTAAACATACACTGGATGTCTGGGAACTACCAAAAATMTAAAAAGTGCCTGCTCAGATTCTGAGTAAATGGACACTGAAGCAGATTTTTGAGGAAAATTTTACAACTTTTTTGAAGGATATAACTGTATACTTTTCAGTCCTCAAACTACCACATATGTAACCACATGTCAGAAAGCTTACTGTAAGTGCAAACCAGTAAAACAGACAAAAACAGAGGGAAAGAAAAGACATTTCCTGTTATTTCCTGCATATTTGCTTTTATTACCTCACATCTCTGCTGCCAACTTCTCAGCATAATAAAAATGTACAGTCTCCACCTTTCTCATGCTATGTCTTCACTTTGTCATGTAGTAGGGAAAAAAGTGATAAGGTCACAACATGAAAGCAAGAACTTGACAGCACAAGTACAGACAGGGCAGGACACAGTTGTGGTGAAAGTTGGGGTTTTAGTGCAGGGAGGAGCTGAAGATCACAGGCATCTGTGATGACTTTTGCTTTTTCTGCAGAGAGGTTCTTCAAATAGTACACTTTTTTTAGACACATGTGATCCTCTGCCCGTTTTTATTTCTGAGAGATTCAGTCTCTCTAAAACACTCCTTTTAGCCTGTACATTTTTTTTGTTGTCCTCTTGCGCATCATTTTTGACATGTGCAGACTCTAAATTATCTATTGTTTAAAAAAATGGTGCAGTTTCTTCAACGTTTGTTGATGTATATGTTAATTTGATATGTTTACTATTACTGTGAATAAAATATGGGTTTATGAGGTTTGATAATGATTGCATTGTGTGRAACTTTGCTTTGTTTTGCTGCAGAATGAAAACATTGTTGGAGATATGATTTAACTTATGAACATCTTTCCCTTTTTTCTTAGGGGACAGTTCTCAGTTCGGTGTCTCACGCTGAGCTCAGCTTTATTCTCAGTGGCAATATTGTTTCTCCAGTCGGCAGGAAATCCTGGAATGCAAAATCAAAACATTTGCCTCTGGCTAGAGAAACAAGGCTGAACATTCAGAGATCGACATTTTTTTTTGTGTGTGTGTGTGTGTGTGTGTGTGTGGTTATAATTAAACTGTTAAATGAACCAAAAGTTTCGACAAACTGATAAGATCAACACATGTCACACATTATTGCAGCAGGTCAGCCTGACATTTAAAGGGATGCAGAAGACTTTTGTTTTGTGTTACTGGTTCCATGAATATTTTACGATGGTTATCATATCATATAACGCTGACCACGTCATAGGCCTACTTGTAAATCTGAATGGGTTGCGGCGACAGGAAGTCAGGAATTTTTTATTTTCTCTGTTGAATTTGGCTCCTTCTGATARCCAATCAAGTAAAAACTATCGTGGCAATCAGGGCCACAAATTGTGGCCATACTATAGCAATCTTTTTTTATTCTTCATTCCCTGCTAGACGACCGGGGGGACGGAAAGCATCCTGAGCAAAAGTGCTCTCATAAAAAATAGAAAATAGTCTTAAGTAATCAGATTAAAGCACATGTTTGCACTTACTGAACCTTACCTCTCAGTGGTTCCTAGAAGATCCTCCCTCCTCAAATCACAGGAAAACGGTTGACAAAGTTGGGGGTAAAAAAAAAAGAATTTCATAAGCAACTGGGATTGTTACATAAGACCATTTTAGTTCAAGTTCCAGTGATCACAGATAAGAACCTCTCAGGAAGCTGTGTTACAAAKCAAAAAAGGAGGATTTTAAAGGCACATTTTAAGGGACTTAAGGGCTTTATTTTCACAAAGAACTTTTCTTGGTTGATTGACAGATTCTTTGTAATTTTTTTGATGCAGATATTAGGCTGAAAAGCAGAGGAAAGGTTCTCGGACGGCAGGTAATGACACGAGGAGGAGATAATGACAAGGAAGTAAACCCAGTGGCCGTGGGATTGGCTGTCACGTGAGAAGAAAGTTTCTGCCAGTCGTGTTGTAAAGAGTGCAGAAGCAAATCAGCCGTGAAGGTTGACGGAGGAAGCAGACGGGACAAGCTGCTGGAGTCAGAACCTCAGGGCCAGCCTCACTGGAGACATTTTACTATTAAAACTTTTGGGATTTAAATTTCCTCAAGTTTTTTTTTCTTTGGATTGTTTTTTTTTTTTTCTATCGGCGTCAATAATGTCAGAAGAGAAAGAATTATCCTATAAGGAGTCCATCGAGAAGGCCTCCTCCTCCATCACTCGTTTCCCTCTCATCCCCATCAGAGGAATTCCTCTCATGTCCCCCATCGCCAACAGCTGGGACTCCATTTGGGCTTTCCGTCCGGACCCGTCAGACCTGCTCATCGCCACCTACCCCAAAGCAGGTAAGGGCCTAACTTTGTGCTGAAAGTTGGTGGGGACGCACRGTGGGGGACGGGGTCTGACGTACCCACAGTTGTGCGACRAGGTTTTTCTGTTGTTCATGTCTTCAGTGTGTGCTCAGTTTAACTGTCTGCATCAACAACTGCACACCAAATGTTTCTGTGATGCAATAATACTCAAACCATATTAACTGAGATTATGTTCACCTTCATTCAACCATGGACTGTATCAGCCCTTTAAACTCACTAAGAATACAGTTTGATAATCAGCCATAGTTTCATACAGAGACACACAGGTGGAGCGCAGGTGTGTTGGTTTATCCTCTCACATAAGTCTTATAATATGTGGAAAGGACACACTGGAGGGGGGTCTGGGGGAGGGGGTCCTCCCTCAGAAAATTTTGAATAAATTAGAAGCTATTTCCTGATTTCTGATGCATTTTAACAGGTTGTTAAAGATACTTTTACCTACATAAATAAACACCTGATTTAATGACTAGAGACAGATTCTTCATTAAACCAGTTGCGTTTGTCCTGTTTTTAAATTCAGTTATAACTCAGARAWTTAAATTAATGTGACAGATTATCCCAAACAAGCTTAGAGGAGGTTTTTACATTTATTTATAAGATCAATATGTGGATGTTTGGAACTGATTAGAAAGCTAATGAGGGAGGATTGACAGATTTATTTACTGACCTTTATTTAACTGGGAAAATCCCAATTATGAAAACCAATTTCTACCACTTCCTACAAATYAAAGCCTATCACTTTTACACTAGTCAAACTAAAATAAATTGTTAAGCACGCAGTAGATAATGTCTTTAGATCAGTAATTTATTTCATTAAGTTCACACAATTGACTAGAATGTACTCAAAATAGCATTTTATATTTCCTTCACACCTGCCCATCACCTTCATCTCTTACCTGAGACACCCTGATCCCCTACATGAGACATCCTGTCGTCCTACCTGTGACACCCTGTCCTCCTACCTGAGACATCCTGTCCTCCTATCTGAGACACCCTGTCCTCCTACTTGAGACACCCTGTCCTCCTACCTGAGACACCCTGTCCTCCTACCTGAGACACCCTGATCCCCTACATGACACAGTCTGTCCTCCTGAGACACCCTGTCCTCCTACCTGAGACACCCTGATCCCCTACATGAGACATCCTGTCGTCCTACCTGTGACACCCTGTCCTCCTACCTGAGACATCCTGTCCTCCTATCTGAGACACCCTGTCCTCCTACTTGAGACACCCTGTCCTCCTACCTGAGACACCCTGTCCTCCTACCTGAGACACCCTGATCCCCTACATGAGACATCCTGTCGTCCTACCTGAGACACCCTGTCCTTCTACCTGAGACACCCTGTCCTCCTACCTGAGACATCCTGTCCTCCTATCTGAGACACCCTGTCCTCCTACTTGAGACACCCTGTCCTCCTACTTGAGACACACTGTCCTCTTACCTGAGACAGCCTGTCCTCTTACCTGAGACAGCCTGTCCTCTTACCTGAGACAG